AGTCGCTTAACCAACTGAGCCACCCAGGCGCCCTTCTTCAATTTCTTTCATGAATGTTCTGTAGTTCCTAGAGTATAGATCCTTTACCTCTTTCGTTAGGTTTATTCTGAGGTATCTTATGGTTTTTGGTGCTATTGTAAATGGAATCGATTCTCTAATTTCTCTTTCTACAGTTGAATTGTTTATGTATAAGAAAGCAACTGATTTCTGTTCATTGATTTTGTATCCTGCCACATTACAGAATTGCTATGTGAGTTCTAGTAATTTGGGGGTGGAGTCTTTTGGATTCTCCACATCAAGTATCATGTCATCTGTGAAGAGAGATGACAAATTCTTTGCCAATTTGAATACCTTTTATTTCTTTTTGTTTTCTGATTACTGTTGCTAAGACTTCTAGTACTATGTTGAATAGTGGCGAGAGTGGGCATCCTTGTCGTGTTCCTGATCTTGAGGGAAAGGCTCTCAGCTTTTCCCCATTGAGGATGATATTCACTGTGGGTTTTCATAGATGGATTTTATGAAATTGAGGAATGTTCCCTCTATCCATATACTCTGAAGAGTTTTAATCAAGAAAGGATGCTGTATTTTGTCAAATGCTTTTTCTGCATCAATTGAGAGGACCATATCGTTCTTCTTTCTCCCCTTATTAATGTGTTCTATCACATTGATTGATTTGCAAATGTTGAACTACCCTTGCATCCTGGGGATAAATCCCACTTGGTTGTGGTGGATGATCCTTTTAATGTATTGTTGGATTCTATTAGCTAGGATTTTGTTGAGAATTTGGGAATCCATATTCATCAGGGATATCAGTCTGAAATTCTCCTTTTTGATGGGGTCTTTGCCTGGTTTGGGGATTAAGGTAATGCTGGCCTCATAGAATGAATCTGGAAGCTTTCCTTCTGTTTCTATTTTTTGAAACAGCTTCAGGAGAATAAGTATTATTTCTTCTTTGAATGTTTGGTTGAATTCCCCAGGGAATCCATCAGGCCCTGGACTCTTTGTTTTTGGGGAGGTTTTTGATCACTGCTTCAATCTCGTTACTGGTTATTGGCCTATTCAGGTTGTCAATTTCTTCCTGTTTCAGTCTTGGGAGTTTAGGTTTTCAGGAAGGCATCCATTTCTTCCAGGTTGCTTAATTTATTGGCATATAATTGTTGATAATAATTTCTAATAATTGTTTCTATTTCCTTGGTGTTAGTCGTGATCTCTCCCCTTTCATTCATAATTTTATTAATTTGGGTCCTTTCTTTTTTCTTTTGGATAAGTCTGGCCAGTGGTTTATTGATCTTATTAATTCTTTCAAAGAACTCACTTCTGGTTTCTTTGATCTGATCTACTATGTTTCTGGTTTCTAATTCATTGATCTCTGCTCCAATCTTAATTATTTCTCTTCTAATGCGTGGCTTAGGCATCATTTGTTGCTTTTTCTCTAGTTCTTTAATGTGTAAAGTTAGTTGGTGAATTCGGGATTTTTCTGTTTTTTTTGAGTGAGGCTTGGATGGCTATGTATTTCCCCCTCGGGACCACCTTTGCAGTATCCCATAGGTTTTGGACTGATGTTTTTTTCGTTCTCATTGGTTTCCATGAATTGTTTAAGTTCTTCTTTGATTTCCTGATTGACCCAAACATTCTTGAGCAGAGTGGTCTTTAGCTTCCAAGTGTGAATTTCTTCCAATTTTTTTCTTGTGATTGAGTTCCAGTTTTAAAGCATTACGGTCTGAGAATATGCAGGGAATAATCTCAGTCTTTTGGTATCAGTTGAAACCTGATTTGTGACCCAGTATGTGGTCTCTTCTGGAGAAAGTTCCATCGCACAGTATTTTTATTTCTGTGTCTGGCTTATTTCACTTAGCATAATGTCCTCCAGGTTCATCAGTGTTATCACAAATGGCAGGATCTCCTTGTTTCTTAAGGCTGAATAATATTTTCATTTCATATGTATATACAGAAGACACAATAGAAGACAGAACAAGATGAGGAAATGGATGAAGGAGAATGAGAAACAGCAAAGAAATCTATATTTGAAAAAGATGAATTGTAAATTATACCCTCACCATTTTGATCCTGTGTAGAGAGGGAATGTGAAATTTAAGTCATTTCTTTTGGGAGAGACTTGCCCTTGTGCCAATGACTATGGCCAAGAAGATGGAATGTGCTAATTTATATAAACCAATTAGGGCCCACTCCTGGAAGTGGAATGGAGCTCAGTTTTCCAAAGCATATGGGTTGCTTACAGGAGAGGTGGATGGATAATTGAATGAATGAGAATCTACGCATTGTTAGATAATGGCTAAGGTATGCTTGAGAGGCAACCAAAAATTGTCTTACTACATTTTCAAGTGAGCACAATGAACTTCGACCTTGACTATGTTTGGAGCCCCTGCAGCAGAAACAGGTGTTGGCAGAAGTTGCCCGAGTTTAGTAGGAACTAAATAACTCTTTCTATGATAGATTTATTTGGTCCTCAGCACTGACTTCCAAGTCCCTCGGGTATCTCTTCAGCCCTGCATGGTCTGACAAGCTAAAAAAAACAGCATAAACATCTCTTCTAGGCTCCCTTGCAGCTAGGGTCCTTGATATGACCTACATTCTGCTAGTGAAACGTACTCATGCATTTGAAAAGTAGGAGTGAGGCGGAGGCTATTTTCCATTTGCTTTTGGCTTTATTTGTTTTGCTCGTAAATAAAGTTGTAGAAATAATTCCACAGGTGTTGAGAAGCAGATACTATGATGGCAACTTCCTTATCTTGATTCTCGAGAAGTTAAGTAACTTGCCCAAGGTTACATAGATAACAGGTGACAGAGTTCAAGCTCACAGCTACTTGAAGAGTTGTTGAGGTTTGTGCTGGTCGTGCAGAAATAGTGGCTTCCCTGGCAGATTAGGGCTAGTGTCTTCCGGGAATTCCTGAAGGCCCAGCCTACAGCCTACCCTTCTTGCTCTTCCAAGCTTTTTGTAAGTTCTCAGTTCTCTATATTATATACTTCTAGAGACATTTCAGTTTCCTGCACTGAAACCTCATTCACATGAAAAGGGAAACACCCTTCTGGGATCTGAACAGAGCTAGTTTATCTCCAGAAATTCCAGGTTTCCTAATTACAATCATGCCATGGGTATGGATTAATAACCAGGTTTCTCCCAACAGGCAGGGGCAAGTACCTGTGCTTTGGCACAGCCAAAGAATAGCCCAAATAGAGGAACTTAGGAAATACGGCACCAACCAGGCTTGGATTCCATGGGTCCTGCCTCTACCAGGTGCATGGGGGATGAGAATCTCTCCCACTGTGTGCCCACTCTGTGCCAGAGCCTCTACTTAGCCCTTCACATAGTCTCATCCATAACTAACTTTAACCCTGCAAAGCGGTATGATTGCCCTCAGTTTACAGATGGGAAAACTGCGACTCTGACCAAGATCTCGCAGATAATAAATGACAGGATCAGCGTTAACATTCAGGGCTATCTCCACACTCAGCTTATACATATTTACATTAAAAAAAAATCTTCTCTCTTCTTAATTATAAAAGTAATACCTGTTCAGGGCTCCTGGGTGGCTCAGTCGGTTAAGCATCCAACTTTTGGTTTCAGCTCGGGTCATGATCTCAGGGTCGTGAGATCAAGCCCTGCATGAGGCTCTACACTCAACAGGGAGTCTGCTTGAGATTCTTTCTCTTCCTCTGCCCCTCCCCCCCACTCTCTCTTGCTATAATAAATAAATAATCTTTTAAAAAATACAAGTAATACATGCTCATTGTAGAAACTTTATCATCATCCCTTTGGTGTCATGGTAGCAAGATGGAAGCAAGGGCTACTACTATGTATTTACATAACTGTAAAGTCCCTGCTTCTATCACATATGCTGCCCAGTTGTTTTTTTTTTTTTTAAGATTTTATTTATTTGAGAGAGAGAGAAAGAGCACAAGCAGAGACGGAGGGAGAAGCAGGCTTCCCGCTGAGCAGGGATCCCGATGCAGGACTCGATCCCAGGACCCTGGGATCATGACCTGAGCCGAAGGCAGACACTTCACGACTGAGCCACCCAGGCGCCCTGCTGCCCAGTTTTTGATGTAAGATATATGAACTTTATTTTTACGTTTTCTTTTTCTCTTTATTTTCTTTTTTTCTTGAACATTGACATGAACAATATTTTAGAAATAAATAATTGACAAACTGGCTTGTGTTGACCTAGTAATAAATGAAAGGGCATTGTTAGTTATCTGCAAGAAAATTGCAGAATGGATAAACAGATAATTGCAAGGAATCACAGATCATACCTTAACTTGGTATCTTATTAATAGGCTCTGTGAGCTAATTTAAAAGGATAATGGCATCTCTAATATCAGTAATCTTATATGATGATTTTAAAGACTGACCTGTGTGTGTGTGTGTGTGTGTGTGTGTGTGTGTGTGTGTGTGTGTTGATTGTCCATTCTCTTCCCACAGGCTTTAGGCAATAGTTAGCAATGTTGCCACAAGAATTGAAAAGATGTTATCTATTACCTCTTTAGCCTAAATGGGTCCAGGACAATAATTCACCATAATCAGGTGCCCACAATTCTACGGCAGCAGGAGAAATTCACTTATACTTTATGGCTGAAAGGGAACTATGAACAAACACTGAAAATTTCCATGGTTTTCAAAAATGGTTGGGATCTAGACTTCATTCAATTTTTAGTTACTTTGGTGGTCATGTTAATAAAAACCACCTCCACTCTAGTTCTTCTTCTCTTCCTTCTTCTTCTATGGCAGTATAGTCAGATGGCTCAACAATTAAAATGTATAAAGAGATAATCACTGAAAACCTCCCTTCCATTTTCTACCTCCATCTACCCAGTCACCTCCTTAATTTCTTTTATATCTTTCTAGATTCTTTATGTATATATAAACAAATACAAATACAGATAGATTCTTGTTTTTCTTCTTTCTTTACACAGAAGATAGCAGAATATCCACTGTTCTGCACTTTGTTTTTCTCATTTAAAAGTGTATCTTGGAGGCCTTCCGACGCATGTGCCTGCAGCGCGATGCCCAAATCCCAGCGCGACAAGAAAGTTTCCTTAACCAGAACTGCCAAGAAAGGCTTAGAACTGAAACAGTACCTGATAGAAGAGCTTCGGAAATGTGTGGATACGTACAAGTACCTTTTCATCTTCTCCGTGGCCAACATGAGGAACAGCAAGCTGAAGGACATCCGGAACGCCTGGAAGCACAGCCAGATGTTCTTTGGCAAAAACAAGGTGATGATGGTGGCCTTGGGTCGAAGCCCAGCTGATGAGTACAAAGACAACCTGCATCAGGTCAGCAAGAAGTTGAGGGGTGAGGTCGGTCTCCTTTTCACCAACCGCACCAAGGAGGAAGTGAATGAGTGGTTTACTAAATACACGGAAATGGACTTCGCTCGAGCCGGAAACAAAGCAACTTTCACTGTGACCCTGGACCCCGGGCCCCTGGAGCAGTTCCCCCACTCCATGGAGCCACAGCTGAGGCAGCTGGGCCTGCCCACTGCCCTCAAGAGAGGTGTGGTGACCCTGCTGTCCGACCACGAGGTGTGTAAGGAGGGCGACGTGCTGACCCCAGAGCAGGCCCGCGTGCTGAAGCTTTTCGGGTATGAGATGGCTGAATTCAAGGTCACCATCAAATACATGTGGGATGCACAGTCTGGAAGGTTCCAGCAGATGGGAGATGACTTGCCTGAGAGCGCATCCGAGTCAGCAGAAGAATCAGAGGGGGAAGATGACGGCTGACAGATACTGGGGACGGACTGTGGGACCACCACCCCACTCGCTGAACAGCAGGGAGGGCAAGAGGGATGGACTGCTTTTCTATAAGGAATAAAACTGTCTGCAAGGTGGCTCCTGTGGACAGCAAAGAGAACTTTTCCTAGAAAAAAAAAAAAAGTGTATCTTGGAGAGGTGACTGGGGACTCAGTCAGTTAAGCATCCAACTCTTGGATTTCAGCTCAGGTCATGATCTGAGGGTTGTCAGATCAAGCCCTGCCACTGGGCTCCACATCGAGCATGGAACCTGCTGAAGGTTCTCTTTCTCTCTCTCTCCCTCTACCCCCACCTACATTCCACCTCCCTGCTGCTTGCTCTCTCTCTCAAAAAAGTGTATCTTGGAGATCTTTCCATATTAAAACATATAGAGCTTTCTCATTCCTTTCTGCAGCTGCATAATGTTCTATTTTTTTAAATTTTATTTTATGATGTTAGTTTTTGATGTAGTGTTCCTTGATTCATTGTTTGCGTATAATACCCAGTGCTCCATGCAGTATGTATCCTCCTTAATACCCACCACCGGGCTAACCCATCCCCCACCCCCTTCCCCTCTAGAAGCCTCAGTTTGTTTCTCGGACTCCATAGTCTCTCATGGTTCGTCCTCCCCTCTGATTTCCCCCCTTCATTTTTCCCTTCCTACTATCTTCTTTTTTTTTTTTTTTAACATATAATGTATTATTTGTTTCAGGGGTACAGGTCTGCGACTCATCAGTCTTACACAATTGACAGCACTCACCATAGCACATACCCTCCCCAATGTCCATCACCCAGCCACCCCATCCCTCCCACCCCCCACCACTCCAGCAACACTCAGTTTGTTTCCTGAGATTAAGAGTCTCTTATGATTTGTCTCCCTCTCTTGTTTCATCTTGTTGCATTTTTTCCCTCCCTTCCCCTATGCTCCTCTGTCTTGTTTCTTAAATTCCTCATATCAGTGAGTTCATATGATACTTGTTTTTCTCTGATTGACTTATTTCACTTAGCATAATACCCTCTAGTTCCATACACGTCATTGCAAATAGCAAGATTTCATGTTTTTTGATGGCTGCATAATATTCCATTGTATATATATACCATATCTTCTTTATCTGTTCGTCTGTTGATGGACATCTAGGCTCTTTCCATAGTTTGGCTATTGTGGACATTGCTGCTATAAACATTGGGGTGCATGTGCCCCTTCAGATCACTACATTTGTATCTTTGGGGTAAATACCCAGTAGTGCAATTGCTGGGTCATAGGGTAGCTCTATTTTCAACTTTTTGAGGAACTTCCATACTGTTTTCCAGAGTGGATGCACCATCTAAGCCTCATTTTCTTAATGTGTAAATGAGGATAATCGTTAGAATAATAATAATTATTATTATCTGTTGCTTTGGGATGGAATGTTCTGAATATATCTGTGAAGTCCATTTGGTCCAGTGTGTCATTTAAAGCCTTTATTTCCAGGTGCCTGGGTGGCTCAGTCGTTAAGCGTCTGCCTTCGGCTCAGGTCATGATCCCAGGGTTCTGGGATCGAGCCCCACATCGGGCTCCCTCCTCTGAGGGAAGCCTGCTTCTCCCTCTCCCGCTCTCCCTGCTTGTGTTCCCTCTCTTGCTGTGTCTCTCTCTGTCAAATAAATAAATAAAATCTTAAAAAAAAATAAAGCCTTTATTTCCTTGTTGATCTTTTGCTTAGATGATTTGTCCATTTCAGTTAGGGGGGTGTGTTAAAATCCCATACTATTATCGTATTGTTGTCGATGTGTTTCTTTGATTTTGTTATTAATTGGCTTATATAATTGGCTGCTCCCATGTTAGGGGCATAGATATTTACAATTGTTAGATCTTGTTGGATAGACAGTTTAAGTAGGATATAGTGTCCTTCCTCATCTCTTATTACAGTCTTTGTTTTAAAATCTAATTTGTCTGATATAAGGATTGCCACCCCAGCTTTCTTTTGGTGTCCATTAGCATGGTAAATGGTATTCCACCCCCTCATTTTCAATCTGGAGGTGTCTTTGGGTCTAAAACGAGTCTCTTGCAGGCAGCATATCGATGGGTCTTGTTTTTTTTATCCAATGTGATACCCTGTGTCTTTTGATTGGGGCATTTCTCCCATTTACACTCAGGGTAACTATTGAAAGATATGAATTTAGTGCCATTGTATTGCCTGTAAGGTGACTGTTACTGTATATTGTCTCTATTCTTTTCTGGTCTATGTTACTTTTAGGCTCTCTCTTTGCTTAGAGGACCCATTTCAGTAGGGCTGGTTTGGTGTTTGCAAATTCTTTTAGTTTTTGTTTGTTCTGAAAGCAAACAAACAAATTTTATCTCTCCTTCTATTTTCAATGACAGCCTAGCTGGATATAGTATTCTTGGCTGCATATTTTTCTCGTTTAGTGTTCTGAATATATCATGCCAATCCTTTATGGCCTGCCAGGTCTCTGTGGATAGGTCTGTTTCCAATCTAATATTTCTACTGTTGTAGGTACAGACCTCTTGTCCCGAGCTGCTTTCAGGATTTTCTCTTTGTCTCTGAGACTTGTAAGTTTTACTATTAAATGTTGGGGTGTTTACCTGTTTTTATTGATTTTGAGGAGGGTTCTCTGTGCCTCCTGGATTTTGATGCCTGTTGCCCTCCCCAAATTAGGGAAGTTCTCTGCTATCATTTGCTCCAGTATACCTTCTGCCTCTCTATCTCTTTCTTCTTCTTCTGGGATTCCAATTATTCTAATATTGTTTCATCTTATGGTATCACTTATCTCTCGAATTCTGCCCTCGTGATCCAGTAGTTGTTTATCTCTCTTTTTCTCAGCTTCTTTATTCTCCATCATTTGGTCTTCTATATCACTAATTCTCTCTTCTGCCTCATTTATCCTAACAGTTAGAGCCTCCATTTTTTTTATTGCACTTCATTAATAGCCTTTTTGATTTCAACTTGGTTAGATTTTAGTTCTTTTATTTCTCCAGAAAGGGATTCTCTAGTATCTTCCATGCTTTTTTTTTAATTTAAAGTAATATATTTGCAGCTCAGATAGTTCTAAATTGTACACTTCAGGTTTATTCAACTTCTTAAAAATATTTGAGGGCAGCTGCAACCACAGAGTTCAATTCCATCATTATTTCTTTGCCCATTCTTCTCTCTCTTTTCTTTCCCGAATAACTTCTTTCAAATATGGTTCAAGGTAGAATTTATCCTCCTCATATTTTGTCCACTGCTCTTTAGGCAAGATCTGATGCCTCATGGTCAGGTCCAGTGCTCTCTTAATGCAAAACATCCTGTCGTTATAAAGGTTCTCAGGAAGCCTTCTTATGGCCTCTTTCACATCATCATTCTCATATATTGTATCATCTCTCATTAACCCCAGTTTATTGAACCCTGCAGCATTGTAGTACCATTTCCGAATACCCTCCAGCCACCGGCTTGATGCTGCAACTGCAAGCCTGCTCACCATTTTGACCCGAGGCTGCCCTTCCATGCTTTTTTCAAGCCCAGCTAGTATCTTTATAATCATCATTCTGAACTCTAGTTCTGACATTTTACTAATGTCCGTATTGATTAGGTCCCTGGCAGTTGGTACTTCCTCTTCTTCTTTTTTTTTGAGGTGATTTTTTCCATCTTGTCATTTTGTCCAGAGGAGAATAGTTGAATGAGACAACAAAATGCTAGAAGTGTAACAACAACCCCAGAAAAATATACACTTCTAGAAAGTGGTTGCTTTTCTGTTCATGGAGTTGCTGCTATTCTTTTCTTTGATCTCCTGTTGAGTTTGTTGGTGTTCAGAATGGTTTGATACCTATCTAGCTGAATTCCTGGGACCAGACGAAATTTTGGTCTCCTACTCCTCTGCCATCTTGCTCCTTCTCCCCACAATGTTTTATTTTATGGATGTCCTAAAATTTCTATTTCCAGCCACTTACTGAAGGACGTTTGAGTTGCTTCTAATCTTTTGCTGCTACAAACAGACTGTGATGAATGGCGTTGTTCAGATGTCATTTTTCAGACATGAAAGTCAATCCATATTAAAAATACATGTATTTATTTAATTTAAATAGATATTTTAAGATTGCTTTTTGTAGAACTTATGTGTGTACACTCCTACTAATGTTTGAAATGCCTGTTTCCCTAGTCTTGCAAGGAGAGTGTGTTATCAAACTTTGGATTTTTGTTTCATATATTTAAGATTCATTTTTATTTCTTTGAATTCATATCCTTTACCTATTTTCTTTTGGGTTACTTATTGATATCTGGTGGCTCTTTATATATGAGGGAGATTATTCCTTTGTGATCTCATATGAAAACATTCCTCCCAGTTTATTATTTCTTTTTTTGACTTATGTTTTTAAAACATCAGTGTTTATTTTTGAATGATTGAACTTATTAATCCTCACAGCTTCTGGATTTCGGGTGATAGGCTTTTCCTCACTACAAGATGAAAGGTATTTTCCCATTTTTCTTTTCACATTTTTGAAGTTTTTTGAAAAGTTAAGTCTTTTATGCATTTGAAATTAACCCAGTGAGACATGAGGAATGGTTTTGACTTCATTTTTATGTAAGTGGCTACTCATTTGTCCTAGTACCATTTATTTAGTGATCCATATTTTCTCCAATGAGATGTCAGCTTTATTATATTGTGTCTGTGTATGATTTTGCAACTATTTTTGGAGATTATATCCTACTCCATTAGCTCTCTATGTATGTTTATGCCAACATTACACTGTTCTGCTTACTGAGGCTTCATAACATCTTTTAATATCTGGTAGTGCAGATCCACCTCTCCCATCATTGCTCTTCTTCTTCACACTTTTTGTCATTATTCTTGCCCCTTTCTTTTTCTAGGTAAACTTTAGAATCAATTTATCTAGTTAAAAATAAAAATCCTGTTGTGTCACTCACATTAAAAATTTTAATTAAGTTATGGAGAACTGACATTTTTGTGATGTTGAGTATTCCTATCCAAGAGCAATTTATATTTCTACTTGTTCAAGTTTTCTTTTGGATAGTGTTTAGTAGTGTTTGAAATTTTTTCTTCACATAGGCTTTGAATATTTCTTTTTTAAAAAAATATGTTATTTATTTATTTGACACAGAGAGAGAGAGATCACAAGTAGGCAGAGTGGCAGGCAGAGG